CTGTTGCTCAGAGTTCAAACTCTTGAGCAAGCTCTTAACCAACTGAGCCACTCGGCCGGCCCTCCCCTTGGCTGATTCTAATCTGTACCTTCCTCCTGTGATAAGCCATAACCATGAGTATAATAGCTTTCAGCGAGTTCCATGAGTCCTTCTGTTGAGAGTGGTTTGGGGAACCCATTGAATGTGTAGCTGGTATCAGACGTGAGGGTGGTCTCTTGTTGGGACTGTTCCCTCTAACTCTGTAGCTGCCTTAAACCCCTTACAACACCCTTTTCCAAATAACCGTGTAATATCCTCCCATTTAACTCTGGGCCTGACCATATGATATGCTTTAATTGTGATGCAAGCAGAGATTCGCACATGTCCATTTGTGCTTTTGCCCCCTGCCATCATCAATAAAATGATGTGGGCATGCTAGCTTGCTAGAAAATGAGAGACACATGGGGCAGAACCAACTCATACACAGTGTCCTAGCCAAGACCATTTTAGATTATCAATAGAGCAGCACCCCTAGTCACGTAAAGATCAGCAGAATCACCTAGCCAACCACTCCAGGTATATGAGTAATAAACCCTTATATGCCTCTGTGAGTTTGTGGTTGCATTAGTCTGACAATAGATAACAGATAATCTTTACATTATGAAATATTAAAGATTTAGGACTATTTCCAACTGAGGCCTGGAGAAGTGAAATAATCACCACATTAGGTAACAGAAAAAATTACATTTGCTTTGGAAATATAACCACATACAATGCATACTTTGTCTAATACTCGGAACTCCTCTGCATATTGGGGTAAAGATGAAACTATACAAGACCCTAGAGAAGTGAAAGTTACCTCTAGTTACAACTCATTATTGAAAGTCTTTTGCCAGACCTTTTAACTGATAAGGAAACTGACAATTTTATATCTTTTTCTTTTTTATCCTCTGCCAACTTTCTGATGGAATTGCTAGTGACTACAATGAAGTGGCCCGTGGCTAATACATTTTAAAAAGGAGGGGAACAGGAAAAGCAAAGAGTTCAATTAACAGGAGACAGAAACTGTACTCAGTCAAGTGACTGCATTATACTATCAAAATCATGTATGCAAATTCATTTTGACCGTGGTTTACCCTAATTGTTCTGTTTCATCTTCTCTTCCAGCTAAGTATGGTGTTTAGTCTTCGTTCTCTTCACTGCTGTGTGCTAAGTATTATTCCATATTTGAGAAGATGGAAGAGAAGGGACCCTACTGTACTTTGCTCTTGAAGAGAAGCATAAGGACCTCCCAGTGTTTATGGTACCACTGGCTATGCAAACAGACAGCGTTCTTTCCCTGTGGCTTATTATTTAAGGCACCCTCATGTAAACCCCTTCCCACCCCTGTCTGCTAAGATCTATTTCTTTTCCCACATGAAGTGAGACAACTATAAGCCTGCTTAGAGAATGAACTTGTAATTTCTATCCAAGTTTGCTCAGGTATGCCCTACATCCTAATGTCCAGTCCTGTAATTGGTCAGAGACTGAGTAAATGGGCTGTTGTCTCTCATGCTTGCATGCTCATGCATGTGTGCACGCGAGCACAAGCACACGCACACACACACACGCACACACACACACACACACACTATACACACATATGTATGCATAATTAATTTTTATGGCAGAGAAACAATGTGTTATTCACCATTGTATCCCCAATTCTAGCATGATGCTTGCCACATCACAGTCTTGCAGTAACTATCTGTTCAATGAATTAATAAACGCATATTTTTAAACACATTATTACTTTCGCCACCTAAAGCTAGACAGGGATTCAATGATTTGAGGCTTAATTTGTGCCCTTAAAAGAATATACAGTATTGAATGGATGGGAGAAGTGGATGGAGATAGTCTCAGAGACACAGAGGAAGAACTGAGGGTTGTTAGTTGGGAGGGGGTGGGGATGAAGGAGAG